TGTATTTCACAACACACCTTCACTTGTAGTCACATCACAACCTCCACCTGTATTTCACATCACACCTTCAAACCTGTAGTTCACATCCCAACCTTCACCTGTAAGTTCACATCACACCCTTCACCCCTGTAGTTCACATCACACCTTCACCTGTAGTTCACATCACACCTTCACCTGTAGTTCACAATCACACCTCCACCTTGTAGTTCAACATCACACCTTCACTTGTAGTTCAACATCACACACACCCTTCACCTGTAGTTCACATCAACCTTCACCTGTAGTTGCTCACACCTTTCACCCTGTAGTTCACGATCACACCTTCACCTGTAGTTCCACATCACATCTTCACCTGTATTCACATCACACCTTCACCTGTAGATCACATCACACCTTCACCTGTAGTTCACATCACACCTACACCTGTAAGTTCACATCAAACCTTCACCTGTAGTTCACATCACACCTTCACCTGTGTTTCACATCAAACCTTCACCTGTAGTTCTCAATAACACCTTCACCCTGTATTCAAATTCACACCCTTCACATGTATTCACTCACACCTTCACCTGTAGTTCACATCAACATAACACCTTCACCTGTATTCACATCACACACACCTTCATACCTGTATTTTCACATCACACCCACCTGTAGTTTCACATCACACCTTCACCTGTAGTTCACATCACACCTTCACCTGTAGTTCACATCACACCTTCACCTGTAGTTCACATCACACCTTCACCTGTATTCACATCACACCTTCCCTGTAGTTCACATCACACCTTCACCTGTAGTTCACATCACACCTTCACCTGTAGTTCACATCACACCTTCACCTGTAGTTCACATCACACCTTCACCTGTAGTTCACATCACACCTCACCTGTAGTTCACATCACACCTTCACCTGTAGTTCACATCACACCTTCACCTGTAGTTCACATCACACCTTCACCTGTAGTTCACATCACACCTTCACCTGTAGTTCACATCACACCTTCACCGTAGTTCACAATCATACCTTCACCTGTAGTTCACATCACAAACCCCTTTACCTGTAGTTCACATCACACCTTCACCTGTAGTTCACATCACACCTCCACCTGTAGTTCACATCACACCTTCACCTGTAATGAACCTTGCATATTCACCTGTAATTTGTCCTTACATCTTCACCTGTAATTCGTCTTGTGTATGCCCCTGTAGTTCACCTACACCTTCATCTGTAATTCGCCTTTACACCTTCACCTGTAAATCGTAAAAGAAGCAAAAGGCACAATACAGTCACGGGAACAATTTACCCTTGATGTGGGAAGGAAGGTTGCTGTTACCCTTGATGTGGGAAGGAAGGTTGCTGTTACCCTTGATGTGGAAAGGAAGGTTGCTGTTACCCTTGATGTGAGAAGGAAGGTTACTGTTACCCTTGATGTGGGAAGGAAGGTGTTACCCTTGATGTGGGAAGGAAGGTTGCTGTTAACCTTGATGTGGGAAGGAAGGTTGCTGTTAACCTTGATGTGGGAAGGAAGGTTGCTGTTACCCTTGATGTGGGAAGGAAGGTTGCTGTTACCCTTGATGTGGGAAGGAAGGTTGCTGTTACCCTTGATGTGAGAAGGAAGGTTGCTGTTACCCTTGATGTGGGAAGGAAGGTGTTACCCTTGATGTGGGAAGGAAGGTTGCTGTTAACCTTGATGTGGGAAGGAAGGTTGCTGTTAACCTTGATGTGGGATGGAAGGTTGCTGTTAACCTTGATGTGGGAAGGAAGGTTGCTGTTAACCTTGATGTGGGAAGGAAGGTTGCTGTTACCCTTGATGTGAGAAGGAAGGTTGCTGTTACATTTGATGTGGGAAGGAAGGTTGCTGTTACCCTTGATGTGAGAAGGAAGGTTGCTGTTACATTTGATGTGGGAAGGAAGGTTGCTGTTACCCTTGATGTGGAAAGGAAGGTTGCTGTTACCCTTGATGTGGGATGGAAGGTGTTACCCTTGATGTGGAAAGGAAGGTTGCTGTTACCCTTGATGTGGGAAGGAAGGTGTTACCCTTGATGTGGGAAGGAAGGTTGCTGTTAACCTTGATGTCGGAAGGAAGGTTGCTGTTACCCTTCATGTGGGAAGGAAGGGTGCTGTTACCCTTCATGTGAGAAGGAAGGTTGTTGTTACCCTTGATGTGGGAAGGAAGGTTGCTGTTACCCTTCACGTGGGAAGGAAGGTTGTTGTTACCCTTCATGTGAGAAGGAAGGTTGCTGTTACCCTTCATGTGGGAAGGAAGGTTGCTGTTATCCTTGATGTGGGACGGGAGGTTGCTGTTACCCATGATGTGGGAAGGGAGGTTCCTGTTACCCTTGATGTGGGAAGAAAGGTTGCTGGTATCCTTCATTAGGGAAGGGAGGTTGCTGTTACCCTTGATGTGGGAAGGGAGGTTCCTGCTACCCTTGATGTGGGAAGGGAGGTTGCTCTTACATATGATGTGGGAAGGGAGGTTCCTGTTACCCTTGATGTGGGAAGGGAGGTTGCTCTTACATATGATGTGGGAAGGGAGGTTCCTGTTACCCTTGATGTGGGAAGGGAGGTTGCTGTTACCCTTGATGTGGAAAGGAAGGTTGCTGTTTCCCTTTTGGG